CATTAACAAGTTAAACAATTACCTTTTAATAGACTAATTAATAACTCTGTGCCATTGTTACCTAATGAGATTTTGAAACCAGAGAATGCTTTACACACATAATTGATTTTTGCCATCTTGCTTTGTTTCTGGGAGGTTGTGCAACTCGCTCTCCACAACTGTCTCACTGCACCCGCTGTGAGCAACAGTCACCACTCAGACGTGGTTAAAAGGGAGCATTTAACTAGTCGTGAGTGTGAGGCAAGATCTCATTCAAGCATAGAAAGCAGGCAGGTTTGTAGGCTCTTATGCCTGGCTACACGTGAGGCTGGTGAGCATTTCCGTGGGGTCTGCCCTCACCACTCCCCACTTCTCCAAACGCTGCTGGTCATGCCTGTGCCCCACATCTCCCTCCCACTGGGTGTGCAGCTGCACTTCCTCCTCCCGCTTCAGCATCAAGGACAGAGCATTCTCGCAGACTTGCAATTGCCATCCTGGGCTTGTCCTGCCGATCCACTGGGTAATTTTCGTTCTGCTTGCTCAGAAAACAGCTCTGGTCAGAAGTGACATGAGTCAGATGCTGTTCACGCTCTGTCGAGACGGGGGTGGCGGCTCAGGGAGGCGGCTGCCGTGCCGGGTGGTGGGGCTGGCTGCAGCCCAGGCTCTGGAGATGCCAGCAGGGCAGGACCGTGTCGCCCTCGGCTTGGGCGGCTTCGGGGATGCTGCTCTGCGCTCCTGCAGAGCTCTGCACACAAGGGCACTGTCTCAGCCCTTTTACACGGGTGAAAAGGGAGTTTCACTCTATGTGTAGGTGGGCTGTGGTTCTGGGGAACACCCTGAAGCAGGGAGGGCAGGCACCTGCCTGTTGGCATGGTAGCACTGGCACCCTCCCACACGGGTGCCTCAACACCAGCACACCCCGCCTTTGAACCTCAGAAGGGGTTTAGGAATAGCTGATTTCAACTGTGCAATAGGTAAGATCCAAAAGTCACGCTTTTCAGAATAAGAATGGATGTTTTTCAGGATTTGTAGTTGTGGGAATGTACCAAAATGGGCCTCCAGGTTCCCCTTTTGTCTGCAGAGTGATGCTGGCTCAGAGGAGGGGAGGTTTTCACATAACTGAAACTGGGGGTGCTCCAAAAAGCCCTGCAATGAATCTTGTCAGTGAATAATTAGCTGATTGCCTTGGTGAAAGCCTGAGGCACTGCTGCAGAAATTGGTATGAGCTTCTGTACCTGCTTCACTGTGACAACTCAGCTCTGGGAGGAGCCCAGACTGACCTGAGGAAGGAGCAGTGTCCTTACAGGGATGTACCTCTTGGATAGGTGAATGCAGGCTGGGAACTGGGGCTGAGAGCAGCGCTTTCCCTGGGGAATCTGTGACCAGGGAACGTTAGGAAACTATTAAAGATGACCAGCAAACTTTGGAACATGAGCTGTTTGTCCAGTTACTAGAACATTTCCAGTTTGTGCTGCAAAAGCTATTCTGTCAAACCCTTTCCTCACAAGAAGGATGCATTTCTTTGCCTGGCTGAGCTTTCATCTATTCAAAACAAGATGTGACCTGGCCTAGCAGTGGACACTGATGTGGCTGCCAGCATGCTGGGCTCAGGTGAGCAAGGGCCTTGCAGACCGTGTCACACGTCCCACCACGTTCAAGCTGGGAAGGGGCAGCCTCAGCAGTCCCTGCTGTGCTAGTGCAGAGTGCAGGTGTCACAGCACTGATTTTGTGCACGTTTATGGCAGCAGAAGCCCGGTACTTGTGCTCTCTGTTGGTCGGGATTAGCCCTGGAAAAGGAAGGCTCTGTCTTTTTCCACAGGGACTCCCTTGCCACTGGGAGGCAGGACACACCTCCAGCTGCACTGTGTCATAGAAAGTATCCACACACCTGCTGTTGATTTTTCAAGGACAAAGTGTTGTGATTTGATTGAAAAAAAATCATCTTACTAGTGTAGCAATGAGTTCTTTTTGGATTTTTTTTTTTTCTCTCTAACCTCAGGGGAGCAAGACAGAAGATTTGGTAAGTGAGATGATTACAAAAACCGTTCACTGATGGTGGTGGCTGAGCAGGTGCAGTTTTCTGCTGACGGCAGTTCTCACTCTGTACCTTCTCCACTCTCTGCACAGCCCTTCCCTTCTGCGGGGAGCTGCAGAGTATCAAGCAGTGGCAGCACAAAGAGCTGAGCTCCCCACAGTTTTGGATGAAGCTGCTCCAGAAGGCTTCTGTGTTGTGTTCACAGGTTTTCTGCTGCAGTACTGCTTGGTATGCAGTTCGTACACTCCACTGAGCACATGCACGAGCAGCCACATGGAGATATTGCTGTGGGGTTCCTTGAGTCCAACAGCTGCCAGGAACTCTGTCTTTGTTTATTCTTTCTAGTGGAGAGCTTCAATTATGACTGAGGGTGAATGCAATTTTACCCAGGTCCATGTCCTACCCCGCACAGCTTGCTGAAGCAGCTCAGGTGTGAGAAATTGGCCTTTCTGTTAAATTATTTAAAGTTGAAGTGTTTTATAGCAAAAAACACACAGCTATAGATGTTTGTAGTAGGCACAGGAAGGCAGACTGAAGATACACCCAGCTAAAATCTGCAGCCTGCAAGTGTGCCACTACTAAGAGGCACTGAGGACGTTTCCCACCTGTGGCATGTGGAGTGGCAGCACCTGGGAGCTGGCAGGGCAAGCACACATCTTGGACCCTACTGAACTTAACAAAAACAAGGTTGTACTCACAGAGCTCTTTCTGCTTACAGGGAACACACCAATCAGCCCAGTGGCAAAGGTAGCTTTGCCAGGTTTCCACTGTCCAAAACTCCTGAGTCATCTGGCCCCCTGCCCATCCATCCCTGGGCAGGAGTTGCAGCAGGAGCAGCTGTATGAGGTTATGAGCCATTTCCTCAGAAGTTTCTGGTATATCAAAAGGTCTGTGCCTGCTCTGGTTCCAGAGGAGCAGCAGGCACGGGATCAGGGGAGCAGATGTCTTCAGCTACAGCAGGGGTGAGCTAATTGCTGAGTTGGCAAGTGTCCCCTGCCCAGCCAAACCCACCTGCTACAGGATCAGCAGCAATATTATAATTACACTTGGGTGCTGTCACTGCTCCAGTACCTGATTTGCTTGCTGGAGAAATAGACCCATAATGGTCACTATGCATTGTCCCCAGCACAGGGACACTACACTGTTATTGAAGCCTGGGTGAACCCTTTTCTAAACCCAGCTTTGCCAACTTCTACCCATCTCTTTATTGTTATGCCCACCACAACATGCACCTCTCTAGGGGGGAGGAAAAATCTCAGCATAAGCTGATGCCTCTTGCTGATATGATCTGGGTGGGCTGCAGCAAGGACTGCCACGTCCCACCAGGAGCTCTGCCAAGATTAATGTTGGCATTCCAAGCCCAGACAGCCCAGCATGCCAGCCCAACAGCAGGCAGGAAAATGTTCATGGCCTGATTTGCTCCTCCCCTCGCACTGTGATTGCATGAGAGGTCATGGGTGCTGTGGGCTTCATCTGCATCCTGAGAACTCACATTCATTTCATCCCTCTGCATGCAGAGCTCTCTGGAGAGGTTCCCAGGAGGTAACCAGCAACTCTCATGGCTCCTGGTCCCCAGCCTTGTGCCTGTGTCACTGGAAAAATCAGCATAGGTGAGTATTCCTGCAGGTTGTACTGCAAGTGCCCCCTGCCCTTGCTAGGCACAGAGTGTGGCTGTGGGTCAGCACGGGAGGGAGCACAGTGTGACCTGCAGGAACCACTCTGCCCTTAGGAAGCATTTTTGAAGATGCTGTTCCAAGGAGGGAGCACTGCCCACACGGGGACATTATACCCCAGGGCAGAGCTCCTCACCCCCATCCTTGGTTTTCTCTCAGTTCCAGCAGTTTCTTCCCAACATCCCAGTAGCTGCTGGGCAGCAGCACTTCCTTGTAGAACCAAGGGCTTCTTCATGATAGCCCTTCTGACACACCCTCTGGAAAAAAATAAAATGAGTCATCTGTTTTTTTAAAGCATCTCACAGCAGTTTTCCTCTCCTCCCCCAGCCTTCAGCAGCAGAGCAGGGAAGTGCACACTGCTGAAAGCTCTTTTCTTCTCTTTGAAATATTCCTGAGTCCCCGTTGAGGTACTGGGAAGTGAGTGGCCTCAAAGAACTGTGTTAAATTATTTTCTTGCTGACTTTCTGGTGTTCTCAGTTTAGTATTTTGAAGGAAGTTTTGGGGAGTGGGAAGAATGGTCCACAGGTTTTTGCATATCATTGCCAGCAGAAAGATGGCTTTAGGGACTAGGTGATGAGAGAAGCACAGGGGATTGTGTTTCTCTTCCTAATGCAAGAATCATGCCTGATCTGTCTCTTGTTACACTCCTGGGATGCTGGTGCAGGTGCTCCACTCCAGTGAGCCTCCCTCGGTGCCCAGAAAGGGCCTGGGCTCTGCTGCAGCCTTCCAGGAGAGCTTTAGTGTAGCTGCTTGTCCATCACAGCTGCTGGCATATGTTGTTTATAGTGGGGGTCTTGCACTGTATCAGCTTTCATTTGGAAATCAAATTTTCCTGCGAGAAATTTCTAATTCTTTTCCAGATGCGCAAAGCGAAAAAGAGCAATTTACGCTGTGTTAAAGGAGAGAGGAACCACTGCCCCGCAAAGAGCAACCCTCCCTCTGTGCCGTGGAGGTGATCGCTGGCATTTTTGGATAAACCAAAGGAAATGGGCTCTGTCCTGCTTGGTCCATGCGGAGAAAACCAAAGCCCGAGGCAAGCGAGGGGGCGGGCGGGTTTCCCGATGGTGCAGTGATACTGTGTTGACAGTGATTTGTGCGGGGTGTAAGAGGCCAGCGCTGCTCTGAAACGCGAGCCCCCGAATGAATAAATCATGGGCCCTCTCTTAGTGATCTGACAGCTCGGTCCAGCCCTCTCAGTGATCGGATCTGGCCCGTGCGGGGAGGGACTCACGTTGTCCGGAGGATTTAAGAGCAGGGTCTGCCTGCCTGGAAACTTGCAGGAAAGCAGGGAGCCTTCTGCGTGGCGTGGGACCATGGAGGGAAATGCCCACCTCCTCCAGGTCATCCGCAAGATGCGTTCCCAAATCAACAAGCTGGAGAGGGAAAACAGGGCCCTGAAGGGAGAGCTGCAGGTCTGCGGGCAGAAGAGGGTTGTGCCACCGGAGAGAGAGGCAGCGAGAGGAGGTGGGGACAGCAATGTGAGGAGCCCCGCCGGTGATGGGGAAGGACCCGCTGGCTCTCCAGCATCGCTGCAGGGAAGCATCACAGCCAGTCCTGCTCTGGCACCAAAGGAGCAGACAGGTACCAGCGAGTCAGGGCTGTCTGGGGCTGTCCATGGCACCCGCGAGTGCTGCCCGTGCAGGATCTCCCAGCCTGGCTGTTACGTGTCTGCAGGGGGTGGGTGATGAGCTGCTGGTTGTTTGTCTGATCAGCTCCATGAAAGTGCTCTGGCCACCTTTTGTGCTCACACCTAAACCCACCATAACTGGGTCTCTTGCTCTGTGGTCTTCTTAGGGTGGTGCCTGCATCCCCCAAGGTGAGCTTAGTGGAGTATTTTACTGCTGCTCAAACAAAGGATCTGATTCAAGGAGTTCAGTCTGTTTAAGCAGAATTTGACTTACTGCTTTGGGTTTTTGCAGGCATGGACTATCCTGCTCATGCCTGAACCCTGTCTGTTCCAGGCAGAAAAGGGCCAACAGCTGTAGCCATGGTGTAACCTCTCTTGCCTTAGCAAAAGATGAGAAAAACGCTACAAACAATAACAAATAATGATGAGTTGGCTGCATGCATCGTGCCAGATGTGCAGTTTAGTTTTGCAGATAACACAGTTAGTTCTGGCTGAGACAGAGAGGGGCCAATATATAGGAATACATTCTCTTCACAGTTTGATCAGAGGAGAAAAACAAAATATTCCTCAGTTAGAGAAGTCTGGTTGTGACTTCAGGAGGATTTAATGGATCAGGAATTGGAGCAAAATGTTGGTTGGTGAGAAGTACTGTAGAAATGGCTTCACGAGTTTTCACAGAGACAAATCTGTGTGAATGAATAAGACGAGAGAGGCTGAACAGCACTAGTGGATTGATGTGAAGCCAGGTGGCTGCTGCCAAGCCCACTGACCCAGTGGCCAGGTTACCAACCTGAAGGCCCCTTAAACCAGGGCTACTGGTGGCCATAGCTGTCATCAGTTTGGGAATAGCAGTCTGGAGTTTTGGCAAGTGGGAAAGCTGTGGCTCTTCCTCTTCAACTACCTTCTAGGGGATAGATTGAGACCCGAAGGGGCTGTCTGACCTTCTCTGCCTCTCAGCCTCACCATGTACAAAGCTTTTTTGAGCCCAATAAAAGTGATTCAAAATAGAATGATAGAATATTTGGGGTTGCAAGGGACCTTAAAGGTCATCTAGTTCCAACTCCCCTGCTGTGGGCAAGGACACCTTACACTAGACCAGGTTGCTCGAAAACCCATGCAACCTGACCTTGAACACTTTCAGGGATGGGCCACCCACAGCTTCCCTGGGCAACCTCTTCCAGTGTCCCACCACCCTCACAGTAAAGAATTTCCTCCTAACATTTAATCTAAATGTCCTCTCTTTTAGTTTAAAACTCTCCCTCCTTGTTCCATCTCTATCTGCCAGTGTAAAAAGTCATTCTCCAAAAATATATTGAGGACATCTGAATTACTGTTTCCAGCTCTGCTTTTTCCTCTGTTTCTCAGATACTGCCATGACCGTGAGACGCTACCCCCCCATCTCACCAGCTCCTGCTCCTTCCAGTGCAAGGTCCCACCGGGCTGGCAGGAAGCCTTCGAGCAACGGGTTCCCAGAGGTGCCAGGCAGTGCCTGGCCACTGACCCCCCTGCTGCAGCACAGCTCACCAGGGAGGAGGAGAAAGGGCTTGAAAAATCACCGTCCAGCTGTCTCTCCTACAGCCACTCCAGCAACGTGAAGCTGTTTCAGGAGCACGTCTATAGGTGCAGGTAGGCTTGGTTTGCCTTCCCAGCAACAAAGCTCTGATAACATACACGGATGTTGCTCTGGGTCTTAGTTTGTTATCAGCAAAATCTTTGTTTAAATGTATGTGGGCATTGAGCAGACCAGAGACCTCTTTTGGGGAAGTTGTCCTGCTCCTCCTTGCAATGCATGAAGTTTGGCAGTGGTAGCAGGTTAAATTTGCTATAGAAAGGAGAGGCTGGAGGAGAGAGAAAAGGGTTTGAAATCTTCACATTGTTAAAGCCAGGCAGAATTTTGCAGATTGATGTGATGTTCTGACAAGCTAAGCTTGAAAGGGATTTTTGAACTAGGGGAAAAAAAGCATGGAGATACCAGGGAACTCTGAACTATGCGTTTGGAAGTGTGATTACTATGGCTCATGGAATTAGATGTACTGTATTGTATTTTCCCTGTAACTGAAGCATTACAAGTTAATGCTTTCAGCCTTGAGAAAAGTAGTCTCAGGACGGCTTCTAAATTAAGTGAGACGGCTGCTGGACAAGCCCTGAGCTCCTCTGATCATTGATGAGAAGCTTTCCAACACAGGACAACAACTAAAGCTAGTAGCAGCAGTCATGAGACTGTGATATAGGATAGCTCAGTCACCTCCTAGTGCTGATCTGTCCACTCTGGGAACCCGTGTCAATTCCTGGGTTTAACCTGACCATGCTGTGTTCAGAAGCGAAATAACCCAAATGGCCTCAAAGCACGTGCTTGAGCAGGGAGAACTCCATGGGTCTCCCTGTGCGTGCCCTGGGGAAGGACTCCAGTGGCCACCCTGGTGGGCTGTGCACCTGCACTGGGTTGTGTCACCCGTGTGTTTGTATCTGTCCACATGGCCCATCATGACAGCTCTTACTCTGCACCCCCTTCAGCAATACGTCCTCAGAGCACACCAGTGCCCAGCCCCTTGCACTCCCCCTGCAAAGGCAGCTCGGAGCCCAGCTCCTCGCTGAGAGGCTGCAAGGCACAACGAGGCCAAGTTTCCAGAGGCACCTGGGTTTTCTACTAAGGACATTTCAGGGTCAGATGTTTTACAGCATTTAGACACCTAAATTTAGTCCCTGGCAGTGAACTCATATCATTTTCAAAAGCACTGTGACCCTGTAACTCTGGGTTTCTGCGTACGCTCCACTGGGCTCGGGGAAACTCAAGACTCTCGGTGCACACGAACGCTCCGAGAGGTTTGCCCTCGAGCCGGCTCACGTGGAAGGCGTGTGAGGTGGGAAGCACAGGGTCAGCGTGCAGGAGCAGGATGGCAATGGCAAATAGTGCTGCTTGCTCATAGAAAGAGCTTTCAAAGCAACCAAAATAGCAGCACAGATCTGTTACATCTACTACCTCGGGACCTACCAGTTACCCTGCGACCACAGGACGGTGCTGGTGATTTTATCACCACCATTAGAGCTGCCCTGCCAAGCTGAACAGCGGCGAGTGTGGCACCATGACTCACGTCCTCTCACTGCTGATGCTTTGGGAGAAGAAATGGCCACGGAAAGGGCTGTTTACCAAATGCCCTCAGTAGGCTGCGTAATATCCTGGAGCACAAAAATCTGTGTTTCTTACACCAAAAAAAGTCTAATATCTTTTTTTTACCCAAAGGTCTAACACAGACACCAATCTTAGTTAGCTTTTCACTAGTAGGATAATTTCTAGCAATGAGTTCAGCAAGCTTATTAACGTTAATTTTTTACAGGGATGACATTTTTGCTTCCCGACGTGCTGCTTCATGTCAGGTTTTCCTATTCTTCTTGTAGCTTTCTCACACTTTGCTCCTAGGCTATAATCCTGTATTTGATGCTGGTTTTGGTTTTTTTTTTTGCTTTAAAATTAACTCTGTAGAAGTACCACCTTGAATTTATATACAGAACAGTTGCATCCAAGTAATAAAATAACAGCACTGCTAACAAATCATCACTAGTTTGCATGTTTAAAATATTTTAATTCCCATATGCCAAAGCATTATTTATACCAAGGGATTCCTGCTTGTGTTTCATAAATTAAAAAAAAATTAAATATTTGAATGCAGGATAAGAGAGGATGAGAACTGTTTTCAGGGCTATTATAGTAAAATCACAAAATGCAAAAGGCCTGTTTGATACAAATGTCACCACTGGGGTGTTCAGGTTTCGTTTCACCTTCCAGTGAGACAGGTCTCAGGTGAGAAGGTTAAAGGAAATCACAAAGGTCCTCTGCCCTGTAATCATCCCTAAATATTTTAATATTGTCATTATTTTCCTTCCTTCCTTCCTTGTGTTCCTCAAGGGCCTGAGTGAGCTGACAAGCATCACAGAAGACAGTCAGAGTGAAAACCAAAGCTCTGTAAAACTGAACCAATTTACATGCCAAACCAACCGGTTTTGGGACACATAAAGCGGGATGTTTCTGCCTCTGCTGTAATTTACCACGTGCACATTTGGAAACCACTATTGTCACACCTGCTGGCAGTAGCTGGGTGCTGATGGATATAAACATAAAGCCACTGGAGGAGCCCCCCTGGTCCACGTGGGTGCACCTGCACCCTCGGGGTTCTGTGTGCACGTAGCTTTGCACACACACACTGGGCACCAACAGACAGATGTGAGACTCCATGGAAAAAAGTAGATGCTTCCAGCAGATAGGTAGGCAGCACTATGCTTTGGGAAGCCTGTGAATGGCATGAAATCCTGCCTCCATGTAGTGTGCAAGGGCTGAAAGCATTTAGCTTTTGCTTGCTGGGTTGCTTGGGTTTTGGTTTTTTTTTACTTTCTTTGCATGTTTTATACATTTGTAATCCTCATAATGCTTTCTCATTTTTTTCTCCAGGGCTAAAGTAAAGGCTGTCAGCTTCCTCTTACCAGTGGATATGTCACCGTTTGCTGAAAAGCAAGGTTCCCTCAAAAGCCCAGAAAACCAGAGCACAAAACATCTGATGACCATCGCTGAAAAGGATATGTGAGCCAGTGAATTTTTAAAGGGCTATTGATTCCCCGAGATAAACTGGCCTTAAATGACAGCTGTGTGTCAGGTTCCTCCACTGCAAAACGCTCTGGCAGGATGCCCACAGAGCATCACCCAGCCTGTGTTTCGGGTCACGGCCCGATGTTCAGCACAGAAATGGAAGCCGTGGCAAGGTCGACTGCGAGCCCATACGCTGTGATGGAGCCACACAAAGCAAAGGTACCTCCACACAGTGCTTCTGGGCAACACATCTCAAGGACCCCTTACCCCAGGACTGACGCAAACAGGCTGTTGAAGCTGGTTTTGATGTGTTTTTGTCATAAAAAGCATAATCTTTGTCACCGCTTGTGTTTGCTGATTCCGTGGACAGGAGGGTATTTGGTGCAAATGACAAAGTAAGAGCTACTAAGGAGCCTGTGAGGTTTTCTCTGTAGGTAGGATTTTCAAACTTCACAGCACTAATACAGCAAAGTTAAGAAAGCACTACAGTCAGTTAATGTCACCCTGAATTTCTGCAAACCTTGGCAGTGACTGTTTATGTTCATTTGAGGTTCACCTCTAAGGGAGCCCAGGGGAAAGTAAGTACCCATCGGTATGAAAATGTGACTACAAATCTGTTTCTGACGTGGTGTGTTAACCCAGATGGAGACTAAAGGCTGTGCACCGAGCCAAAATAGGAAGAATTGTGAGTATCAGAATTTTTCAGGAATGCCTTCTCAGCACAGCTTGGATCAAAAATCATTAGCAGAAATTCAGCAAACAGGTGCAAAATAAATGTGAGAGAGAACTACAGACAGCTTGTAAAAAATAAACAGTGCTTGTTAGTTTAAGTCATATGAGTAAAGATAGTGTCCCATGTGTTTATTTTGATTACAAGTATTTATGGTATCAAAATACTGCACATTGCTATTTCTTTATGTACAGACAGCACTGATGATTGAATTTTGTACAGAGAATGCATGAAGAGTAGATGTTTGTACTGATAACTTTATGGAAGATTTTCACCTAATTGTCTGATTTTAAACTCTTCAGTTTCCTAAAGCGAAAGCAGAGACCTGGTGGGAAAAAAAAATCCTTCTGGATATTCCATGAAGTTGTATATTGGTATAAAAATCTGTGCTCCTTTTTTTCATTTTGAAATTCACCATGTTTTGTATATTCAAGTGCACTTTTAATATATTGTCATAATTGAAGTAATAATTTCAACTTCACTGCTATTTCATTTGTGCATTTTTATGTTCAGCTTGGGTCCATAGAGAGTTGCATTGCAATATCAGATTTAACAAATTAATGACTTCCAGCAAGCGAGTTTCCAGTTTGGAAAGTTTACTGAACAGCCCATTTTAGAAGGCATTACAGGCCAGTGCCTTCTAAATGTTTTAAAGAAAACATCATTGTCAGGAACTAGACACTGCATATGTGTTCAGTTAAGCAGTTGATTTCACTCAGCAAAGTAACAAAAAGTCTTTGAAAATCTGGCCCCTGCACCTTTAAGGTACCCAAGCTTTTGACAAGTAGTGTTTGAACACCAGATTTAATGGGATTTTAGAATCCACATGTTTTTGGCAACTTTCAGAAGTTTTAGCTTTTACTTTTTCTAAGCCTCAGCTTCCATGGAACAGTTCTGGGAATTCTCCCACCCTTTTTGTGTCAGTTCACTGCAGATGGGTGACTGACACTAAGAATACATATCAGTAATCATGTGACAGTGTCAGTTGTAGTGGGGTGCCGATGTTGCACAAACAGATATAACTTCGTGGGTATGGTCAAGAAATTAGACTCACTGGGCATTTCTTAGAGGTGTAATGGTCCTAAACTTTTGTATACTTCAAGGAAAAAAAAGAACAGAAAAGGTGGAAGGGAAAAGAGGGACAGGAATCAAAGTAGTCATTGACAAATAGCGGTCAGTATATTAACGGAAAGATTTATTTTTTACTTATATTTTTGCAATCTTTAGCAGTGCCCACAGGTTTAGGAACACATGATGATACACAGGCACAATAATTTTTAGAAGCAGTTGTGCAGATCTGACCTAGCTCTGTATCTCCAGGAGAACCAGATTGTAGCAGAGGCCACAAAGAAATCACTTAGCACATCATTTTTACCACAGTACAGCATGAAGTAACTTACCATGGAGCACTCAATGGCAGTTAAAACATTCCAATATTAAACACCCAGAGATGGTTCAGTGCAAAATGGGCAGGTATAAGCAAAGCAAGTGTTGAAAGACAGAGAGATGCTGGCAGCAATTACACCATGGTCCTTTTCTTTCTTCTTCCCAGGAGGATCCATACAAGTTCAGAAGAGCTCTGAGCTTCTACCTAAAACTACTCTGTAACATATCTGTATTAAACCCCAGAATATACACTAAACCCTACTCACTGATGGCCAGGCTTGTTGGACAATTTCCGACCAGAAATTCCTTTTTTCCAGAGAGGTGGTCAGTGCTATTCAGCCATGCAGGAGTGGGACTGCAAGAGCAGCTGAGACAGCAGGAGGTTCCCTCCTGGACTAGCACTGGCCACTGAGAGGTGTAAACTCCTGTGTCACACTTGTGCTTGGGACTAAAGTGGCTTTATATTTGTGCTGTAAAGTGGAAAGTGCTCCTGTTAGAGGGTGTGCCTACAACAGCATTTCAGCAGAGTCAGGACTACACTCCTGAGTGAATTTCCTGGTCAAACCCTCTTACCTGACTTTGTTTCACATTGTGGAGTGGTCTCAGAGCACACAAATGGATCTCTTCTGGATGAAACTAAGTCAGAGGATGTGCTTATAAGGTGCTCCAACAGCTAACAGGTATTCAGTCCACGGGACCACACTAGTAAACCCCCTGAAATACTTGTAGTGTGGACAACAGCACTGATGGGTTCACTCTACACATCCTCTCTACTGGTCTCTTCATGTAGACAGAGCTGTAGAGCAGACTAGGGAGCTACTGTCTCAGGGGAATTCGGGAAAAAAAAAAAAATCTAACCAGGTGAAATTTCATCTTGTTGTACTATAAAGAGGAAGAGATGCTTTTCATCAGTCTTACCTCTCTGTCTGGCTTTTAAAGAGCCTGGCTTTTTCCACGGACACAAAGGTGGAAATGCGATGCTCCAGACTGTTACAGCGGAGTAACATCATCGCTTCTCCAGTGAGTTCTTGCTCAAAGTTCAAACTGGTCTCACACTGGCACCCTTAGACAATGAATCCATGCCCAAAGGTAATAAATCAGTGTGCAGGCTGCATCTCCCATCAAAGTCACCCACCCAGGTCCAAGCTCCATTTATAGGAGTGAGAGCACAATTTATGATGCACTGAATTGTCCACAATCTTTATATCCATTGTATTTTTGCTCCTGTGTCTGAAATCCCTGACAGATGAACTCCAATTTTTCTCTGCTGTTTCTGATCAGGCATAATCTAAGAATATATCAGCATGGAAGTTATTCAGCTGAGCGGCCTCTGACACCAGGTAAGTGATGTTGATCTTTAATGCTGTTGTTCTCAATGATGTTAGCAACATTAATTCCAGCACTGACAGGCTGCCTCTGCAGTCTTGGAACTTTATTTTTGTTTAGTTGGGGTGACAAAATGAGCAATGAACTGGGAACTCATTTGACGGTCTCAAATAGTCCATAGGCCTTGAGCAGTCCTCCAGTGTTGTGACAAATTTGATGCTATGTAACTCCACCATTTACACGTCCTTCTGCCCCCACCCACACATAGATGGCTGGTTCAAAGGTCACAGAGGCTTTTTTTACTGTTGGGTGCTATCAAGTACAAGTTATTTTCTTTTCAGGATGCGAAAAACCGGGTTGTATTAGATCTATTCTGCACTTCAACTGCATAATTCCTTTGCCCAGCAAAAGGCCTGTTAAGAGATTAAGCTGTTATCACAGTTAAAATTTAGATCAAACTCTGCTAACCTTCCATGGGGAAGTTGTTGGCTGTGCTGAAGTCAAGACAGATGGTCACTTCAGGGAATGTTTCTTTTATGGCAAGTGCTCGTTTGAGTAGGAATATTTCTAGCTGGATGAGTCACCTCTTTCTCGACTGCTGCATCAGATACCAAAAAGTGATTTTTACACAGGGATGTTCAAAGACATGGCAGAAGCTGAAAAATACATCTTCAAAGCATCTTGCAAGGGTTTCCTTCTCCAGTGGGAGTATTATACAGCACGTGTAGATTTTTTAAAAAAAATAACCTCCACTATTTTATTTTTACTGAAAACTGTGATGAAATGTTCTTTTTATCCTTTTTTTTTTTTTTTTTTTTTTTTACAAAATCACGTGGTGCTGGATATAAAAAAAACAGTCCCACAACAGCAAAACGCACAAAATCATAATAAAATCTCTCTGTTTAACATAAAACCAAGAAACTTAGAGCAAAGTGCAAAAATTAGAGCGAACATTTCTGTTCTGTGGCTCTTCAGAAGCAGGTTTGACTCTTCCCTGGTTTAGAGGACGAGGACCATCATCTGCATGCTGGTTGCCATGGAGACTCCCATCGCTTTTGGAATCACAAGTTTTGCCTGAAAGGAAACACTCCTGCAGTGTGAGTTTTTAATGACCATAAAGGTTTCTGTTTGTCAGCACATCATATGCTAGATTAACTGCCACGTCTAAGCAGGTGGGAGGGAAAGGAGTAAAATATTTTCTAGTGATTAGTGACAACATGTTTAGTCTGTATAAAATCCACAAAACACATAAATAGAACTACAGGACTTGCTGCATTAGATTAGGCTGCTATGGCATCAAATCTGTTATCTCTCAATATCAGCTACTTCAAAGGAGAATAAACTGTGGTCACAGAACATGAGCATGGCAATAAATCCTTGTGATTCCTGCAGGAGACAGGCCTGAGGACACTCTTTCTCAGGCTTGACTCGATCAGCTTCGCCATAACTCTGTGTTTTCTAGGAAAAGATGTGTACGTGAACAATTGGGTCCGTCCATGGGAAGAGCTGTCTAACATTTATCTGTTCTATCTGCACTGCCAGAAGGGCTCTGGGGTTTTACAGCACTGTCAGCTTCTTTCTCCCTAGTGCACAATTAACACCTGGGATTGCTCCAAAGGGGAAATTTGTTTGACCCTAAACAGTGTGCAGAAGGGTTAGTTTCACCAACGTGTGTATGTTGGCATGAATTTCTGGCTTGAGTTACAACAATGGTTATTCAGAAAAGGAATATAAAGAACCTGCAAGATTAAGCCTCAGTTGCTTCCTGGTTCTGTTGTCTCTGTGAAATGGTAACTGAATAACTACCTGTTAAATCTGCAATTTTCCTTTGATTTCTTCTTTGGAGGTTGTTTTGGGCATCTGTGGGGCCATCAACATACTTCATTGCAATAGTTGGGGTCTGCTCCTTCTGTGGCTGAGTCTGAGTAACTGAAAGAAGAGCAGAAAAGGACATTTAATTGGGTTGTATTAACATTTGTTTGTTCAAGGAAGAAAAGTTGATTCTACCTGGCTGATGAGAACTTGGTATTGTTTCAGTCCTGCCTTCTTGAAAAGACTGAACAGATTCATGGCTAGAGTCTGAGTCTTTCATTGGCCTTCCCATAATCTCATTCTCAGTTGCATTTTTATTTCTGATGAGGAAGTATGTGTGCATTTTCCCTTTGCCTTTTACTTCTATTTCTCCTCTCTCAGTAATCTCGAAATTCTTGTGTTTTAGGCACCTGTAGTATCAGAAACAAAATGACACACGAAAAGTCAAGATTAGCAAAAATGACACTGATATTTTAAAAGAGCTAAGTAATGAAATCACAACAGTTTGGTAAAAACAGTCTTGATCTGTGAACAACAAAGGGTTTATTTCAACAGTTTATTCAGACCTGCTGTGCTTTTTTTAATTTAACATATATAACCTGATCAAAAATCAATGGATCTCATAGCCAAATACTTCAGAGTGGTGGAGTGTTCTTATTGACCAGTATATAGAAATTAAGACCTGAGGCAGCCAATATCAGCTAGACAGAATTATCTCCAGTCATTTCATCAGAGAAGGCAATCAGGTCCATCAAGCACGATTTTCTTCTTTATTTTATATACAGACTTGCTATTCCCAATTGCCTTCTCCACGTGTCCAAAAACGGATTCCAAGAGGACTGGAACTGACATGAGGCTGATCAGCTACAGTTTCACACCCTGTCCTCCTTGCCTTTTTTCCACAGAGCTGTAACATCTTTCTTCAGCTGCCACAGTGCTGATAGTGTTGACCTTCCACAGGTGGTAGTCAGCAGCACTGCAGTGCCATCACCCAGCTCTCTCAGTACCTCATATCCCAGCTGCTCCCATACATTTCCATAGACTGAGACTTCTCAAAAGACCCCTGATCTGATCCTCTTTCAATACTGGTACTTCACTACTCCTCGAACCCTGACTCTTGGTGCAGGGACTTTGCAGACCTCATCAGTGACTGCTGAGGCAAGAAAGGCCTTGAGTAACTCAGCCTTTCTTCAGGGCACTGTCTCTAAATCACCTGCCACCACAGGTCCACATTTCATTTACACTTCTCTGCTAACACAGCAGAAGATCCCCTGCCTGCCTTTGAACTTTCCTTGCCCATTTCAATGCTAGCTGAGCTCTCGCTTTCCCAATATCATTCTGTGTGCCCAGACAGTGTTGTTGTACCCCTTCCTTTGCAGTTTGTCCTTGCTTCCACCTCTTGCATACAGATTTTACACGTGCATAATATTCTTGAAAATTTAATTTTTACTAATATGAGTTTCAGGAAAGCAAATTACAGCATAAAGAGGATAGTTGTTTATGCAATTAATGCTTAGTAAGTGTAAATAAAACTGTTTTGCTACAAATTACTGTGCTCAATTAGAGAGGTTTTAAAGCTTTTATTATTAAATGTTCTAAATGTTCTGACTGTCTTTCTAGCATCTACATCACTTTATCAGGACTTGTAAATAAGCTATCACAATTTTTTTTTTTTAATATTTTGCTCTCTAGGATGGAGACTCTCAAATCTCTGCCTCCATATATAAGTACAATTGGAACAATCAGAACAAATAAAACTCTTTAGAAGCAGTGATTTTCCTATGTAACCTGCTTAAATCAGTGACTAGGGCAGCACCATCTACACTGCAGCTGTCAAGGCAGTGGTTTTTAGCACTGGTTTTAAGAGGTAAAGTTGCCATCACGGTTACTCACTGGTAGGCACTGGAGCTCAGGTGTATTTTACTGGGGACACCGTGGCTCTCCATCCGGGAAGCTATATTCACTGTGTCTCCAAACAAGCAGTAACGAGGCATCTTTTCTCCAACAACTCCAGCCAGGACAGGACCTGTATGGATCCCAACTCGAATCTTTACAGAGACATAAAACACCCCCCAAAAATGTCACTTGTTGTTTAGCATCTTTCTTAACGCTATTCAGCCACCTAAAAGTTCACCTCAACACAACACTGGACACCGGTAAGAAATCAAATTTCCACACGGAGAGGCCCCTCATGGAAAATGCACCCATGTGGGCCTCACTCAAAGTCATAGAGGAGTCAGAAGCAGCTCTTTGAGGTCCTGCTGCAATACATTAACCAGAAACCCAACCCAAAAAGCAGACAGACACACATGCATCATTGCATTAATGACTTACTTGGATAGGATTCCCAGAAACTGGGTTCTGCACTCCTTTAGCTGCGATTATCATCCCCAAGGCAAAATTAGCGACTCGCTCAGCGTGAGTGGGAACAGGCACAGGGACCCCACCTACCACCATATAGGCATCTCCAATTGTCTCCACCTTTAATTGAGAGGGACAACATGTGAGTGTGTACATCTTGCTCAGGTTTGTGTTTTGCTGCTGGGGGCTGCACCAACTCCCCCCTTCTCCTAAAAGTTGTTTCAATCGCCGAAAAGCTTTAGCGCAGTGGAGTTTCCTTGCGACAGAAATCCTCTCCTCCTCCACACTAAAAATTTCATTGCATTGTGTCCCTGCTTACTTGACCCACTTTAGACATCAGTGAGAGAGACCCTAAGGAGGAAGGGTTGCTGTGCAAGTGTCAGACTGTTTGCCTTCCTCTTACCCAGGGCAGACCTATAGGCAAAGGGCTATCCCCAGGCGCAGACTCCTGAGCCAGGAGGTTATCTGACAGATTAATGTATCAATTAGCTCTAATTCACAGCTGGTGCTGAAAGTGCATTTCTTCTTTAAGATAGGTTTATTTTTTTAAAGTCGCAATAAAGCAAGGCAGACTATTCACTGGTGATTAAGGGGTTCACATGAACTTAAGGAACCTCCAAACTCCAGGATGTCAGAGAATGCAACGTGAGCTAAGCAGTTTGGAAGCATCCTTCCTTACAACCAGCTGTTTTCCAGCAACAGCTGCAGCCTGCAAGACAAATGTTGAAGGGTTCGTCCTCCTTCAGGCATCCAGTCTCCTTGAAGTGCATGATAAAGGACCTGAGAAACACTCTGGATTTTACCCCTGTACCAGAATTTTTGCTGGGAATAGGACAGGCCTGTTTGAAACAGAGAGTTCTCAAATGTTTGAAATTCACTCCAGAAGACTCTTACATGGTAAGGAAATTTTTTAAACCACTCTTACAAGGCTTCCCTGTCACATTTACCATCAGTAAACAAGACAAGTTTTAGATTAGATTAACTGGATTTCTTAAAAATGAACACCAATAGGACAGTGGAAACACAGCTTAATATTTGGGTTTGTTCATTAACCTAATGACTAAAAACTGTCCATTACATCAGTCTCAAAGCATGTGTTCTTGTCCATGCCTTCTATAAGATAGCCAAACCCACAGTAATTTTCTGTAACAAATTAAAAACAACTGTAAAAAGCTACTAATGCAAATAGACACCCTCATTATTTTTCAGCTGTAGTAGGAGCTTTAATTTTAAAAGATTTATTCATAACTTCAGATGTTTATAAGCTTGGGCCAAGTTTCTTTAATCAATTTCACTATTCCATTTCTCAATTCCCTGCAATAGTAATCTCATCTTCCCCCTCTGTACCCTAGTAACCTCCTTCAATATTAATAGGAGTTATATACAGGCATCAAAAGGAGATTATTATAGTGACAGATCATTTACTCATGATGGATGATTTAGACAGAATATGATGCTAATTTATCCTAAAATCTGTGGGCCATATCCTGGATACTTCAATTATTGAATACAATTTCCTTGCCAAGGCAGAAATGTCTCTGATTTCCCAGCACAATTTTTGGTGGAATGAACTGCGTGCCTTGCCTGAACAAGGAATTAATTAGATTTGTATTTCACCCTTCACTATTTCTGCCTTCCTAAATGTTTAATGTGCTTGGGACAGACAGAAACTTCAGACCTGCCCTTCAGCTCATCAAATCTGGGTAATTCTGGAGATGTTAATAACACTGACAGTTTAGGTCAGCCAGGGCTCTGATCCTTCCAGCATGGTTTGGAGACCACAGGTACATTATAGTGTAGATCTAGCTGGTGCTCTCTGGGGTCAGCAGGAGATGGATACCACTGCTGAAGTTCTCCATGGAATAAGAAAAAAAAAGGTCTGGGTATTATCTGGATATTGTTTATGATGTTGTATGTCTCCACTAAAGGAGACACTAATGACATAGTGACCTATTACAGCAGGCTGGAATAAAGGAACTAGGAAAATTATTCAAATTAGTCCATAAACCAGGATATCCTGTCATGTTGGATAGGCATTTGAGAAAGGTGGGAGAGAGGTGTATGAAAGAACAGCCATTCTGGTGTTAGTGTTGTGGAAAGAGACTTTAGACCGCGACAGGCGTTACATTCCTGTCCAAAAATTTTAAACGTAAGTAATCACAATTCTACCTGTTTTTTAGTTTGTGTGGCCACTACAAATAGGCAGTATTTTTATGCTTTATAAAAAATCATGCCGGGGTGAAAAGGATTTAATTGCATTTAAAAACAAACAAACAAACAAAAACAAAAAAAACCCACACCAAAACAACAACAAATTTTTCTCCCAGACTATTTCTACAGCCTTTATCGGTCAGTACATACCTTGTACACGTCATGCACCGTGGTCAGTCTGTCAAACCGCAGGTACATGGAGTTCAACATGAGGACGATCTGAATAGGCTCGCATTGGGCACAGATGTTGGTAAAGGTCACAACATCACTGAACAATATAGTGCACTCCTGGAACTCTCCTGTGAGCAGAAAGACCAGTGGTAAGTACTTGTAATGGCTGGACAATCACAATAACTGTTTGAGAGACTTGTTTGCAAAGGTCATTCTTTTAAGACACGTGTCCTGTCAGTTGTAATGCTCATACAAGTGTTCTGAGATGGAGAAATGTTGATATAAGACTGTATCAAATATAAGAATCATTACACACCCTAAACAATCCAGGCATCTGAATATATCACATACAGGATATGCTTAGCACTTTAACTCCCTGTATGTGCTTGCTAAAGGGAATTTAAGGATATTCTTGCTATCCTTAATAAAAATGGGAATCATTATGATTCTGTGTTTATAGATAGCATAGAGAAACTTAGAGAATTTTCTAGGAAAGACCAATTTCTTTATTCTGTTCATTTCTGAGCCCTCATTTCCTGTATAACCACGTTAAAACCAAAATCTCGGATTAATGGTGAAACGCTGAATTTTGTTCACTGAATGGGCAGCTGCTACCACCTTCCAACCCCTAAGGAAAAATTTTGGCAAGTAGTTTCCAAAGCTTTCTTTGAAAGAATAGTCTATTTTTTTCATTATCAGCCAGATTAAGGACCCGTGGTCCTCCTTCTACCCATGACTGTCACCGAGTAGAGAAATGTGCTCCACAGCAGTGGTGGAGGGGCTGTGCCAGTATCTCTATCACCCTCTCCTGGTCCGTGAATTATACACCACAAATGCATCCTGTTCATTCACCTGCCTCGACTCGCTTCCCCTCTTTCAGCTGGTTGGCCACGTGCTGGGGAAGCATGGCATAGAGCAGAGCTTCAGTCTTCTTCTTCTCTTCCTCCAGGTGCTTGGACAGTATGCGCAGTTCCTCCTTCTTCCTCTCCAGCTGGTTAGAGAGCTCCATCTCCGCCAGTCGCTGCTGGTTGAGGAGAATCAAATCCCTGGTCACGTCATGAGGGGCAATGTCTGCAATGTGCATCTGCCGCTCCTCCAGCTCGTGCAGCGTGCGAAGCAGAGGCGAGCAGAGGTAGAGCATGCACTGCAGGGGCTCCATCCACATCATCTGCCCTGTTTGGGACAAGCCAAAGTGGTAAGAGCTTTCAGCAGCGGGGACCGTCACCGTGACGCTCAGCGCCACTGGTGTTGACTTTAGGGGATGAGTTCTAAGGACAGTGGGGTTTTGTAGGGTCTGGATCATCACAGGAACTTGTTTCCTGGAATTAGAGGTGGGCTTGTTCAGAGGAGAGCTATGCTATGCAAGTAACAAAATGTCAGGACCCAGGAAGCCGTCACTCCCTCGCTGCAACTGCTAGGCAGAGTCCAAGCATGCTCCAGGTCCCTCCTCTTCATGGGGAATCCCAGTGCTCACATTTCTCCTCTCCCTCTGCTCTGCTCTCCTCTCCTCCTAGTTCTTAAGCTGTTGCTGAAGCCAGTCAGGAGCGTGCACAGGGGAACTGAGACTCGCAGTGACTGAGGGAAACATTTGAAATTTAATCTCACAGTGGGTAGTTTGTGCCCCAGTTAAGTCAGTGGCACTTTCTTTCCTGGAAGCTGGAGCTTTCAGTCACTATCATAACCTAAATAAGCAGTTACAAAAACGCTTGAAAGGTAGAAGGGATTTTTGGTAAGGGATTGAGGTTTTGTAGGAGGTTTTTTTGTTGAGATTTGGTTATGATTTTAATTTTGAAATATTTTTATTATTATTATTCTTTACTTGCTTCATAAGTATCATTGGTTTCTGAACAGCAATCTAGGAATTCCTGTATCTTTCTTTCTCTCTCATCTCATCCCCAGGGCAACTGGATGAACAGCTTGAAAACTAAGAGGATTGAAACACCAGAGATACCATGTGAATTAACCCCCTGCAGCATAAGAGAAAGTACAATTGTGTCCAGTTAAAATTCCTTGTTTTGGTAGCATCACTTTTTTCAAGATCTCCCTAAACTCTTTTTTTTGACTCTCAGGAATACCAGATTTGACACTCATTATGTAAAGGTGAAAGGAGATAAGAAAAAAATAGGACATATTACATAGTTCAGAGAAGCAAAATTGAGGTCACAGAACACTTAAACCAAATGTCATTACAGTTAATTACACAAAGCAGAGGATCATTCCATACTCAGTCCTCTAAGCAAAAATAAAGCAAATACATTATCTTTTTTGCTAAGATAATTTTAACTGCTAAACTCTTACATGACATTGGGGGTGTGTGTGAAGACAGGAATCGGAATCTGAAAATGTGGCTACAAAAAATAAAAGCACAGCTAACTAATCTATTTTTATCCACATCTGAAACCCAGCCAGTAGCAAATAACTCCCCTCAAAGGCATAAATTAAGAACTAATCATGTATTCACATGTGGGTTTTGCAGCATTAGAGAAACACCATATTTCTAAGCCTTTCAACTGGGACCAGAGTTGTTGTTTCTGACCAAAAGCCTTCAAAATGTGGAGAGGTAATAGCAGAATTTGTCTACAAGCATCTACTGTTTCTCTAAACAGAATCATCTAATCTCCTCACTGCCCAAAGGCTATTTATAGGACTTATGTGAGGTCAGGAGTACACAGAAAGACATCAGTTCAACTCAGCATAATTCCTGATTTCATATGAACACTTATGCTACTGACAACAGCAAAGCACCTCTCAGCTCCAGCATTGGCCGTTGTTTCCACGACTCTGGCATCATCTCTCTTCTAGTTTGGAAAACAAATTGGCTGTTGATGAATTTCTGAATGCTGGAGATGGTGAAGGGTACTTCTGGGTGAACGATCCTGAAGTACTGGTCCAAGGAGATGCCCATGGTCTGGAGGCCAGGTACAATCTTTTGAATGCTCACCCCAGCTTGCTTCACTCTGAGCTTAAAAAGAAAATATGGACCATGTGTTATAATTCATGTCTTGTTGGGTTCAGGCCAAGCCACAGCTGATCACTGTTTGTACATGTGCACACACTTAGCCTTGCTATAGCACATGGCCTGTTTCTGAGCAAAGTTTCTACCTTGTTAGTGCATTGCTACAAAGCTCTGAATGAGTATCCTTTATGGCAAGACACCAAAATACCTTGGCAAATATTAATCTTCTAATGGCTGCTTTCTCTTAGCCATTGGTGTGTAAAGGTTTAGTTATTGTCTTCTGGCCTGCTGACCATACATGAGCTCTTAATTTCTGCAGAAATGTCCTGCACAGCTTGTCAGCAGTTATTGAAGCTCTGGCCTAGCTACCAATAATAGGTGTAGGACTTTCCCTCTGTGCACACTAGTAATTTTATTAAATTATGCAGACCGGACATCTTGAAAGGTTTAAGAGTCTGAATTTTGTCTAATGTGGGCAGTGGCAGGAAGCAGATTATGTGCTCTGGAATCTCTATCAGCATGATGCCAAAGCATGTTCCCTGAGTGCCTGTTTTCTGCTTTCTTCTGCTGTCCTATCATCACCTCTTTGCTTCTGTCTGAAGATAATATTCCCTCCCCAGAGTTGAGAGCAAGAGGAACTATAGCTTGCTGGGAACCCAGGCAAGTTGGAAACCTGCCACAGGGAAGCCCTGCCAAGGGCTGCAGAGTATGCATGCACAGAAGAAGAGATTCAGTCCTCCCTCAGAAGGTAAAGAGATTTTGGGGTTCTAGATGAGGTTGCTCGACTTAGGAGGTAGCTGGGTTTTCTCAGCAGATGTAGGTAAGAGTAGACCCAGGAAGTACAGGAGCCTCAGGTGCCAGTAAAGTGCTCAAGGCCCTGAGATAGATTAGTAACTGGGAGGAGAGGGGGACTAGCTATAAGCACAAAACCACTTTAAAGGATGGGATGTGTCTCTGCTGTGTCCTGGGGCAGAAAGGTGGCCACAAACCCCAGAAAGTTCTGCTCGGTATTTGGTGACAGACAGGCTGCTGCAATAAACCTTGTTGGCATGTCTGTAGCTGTTTCAGGCGTGGTAAACTCAGTAAAGTCAAAGGAGATTCCTATTTGAAATGATCCAGATCCAGTTGTTATGCTTATTGCACATCTCTGTATTGATAGGATTCTGCAAATCCTACAGATGAGTGTACCCTGCACACAGAGCACACAGAGCACTGCACTGCAGGACAGTCAAAACAGGGAAATTACTATTTGGTTTATGCAAACTGAAGGCCTTTACCACATGCTTGTCCTACCTCTTTGTCGAAAACCATATGGAAAGGAAGTCCATTGCAAAATGTTTTTGTGTCAATCCAGAGGCTCTTGGGATAAACGGGATCAAATCCTCTCAGGAGCTTACCTGTGGCAAGATAAATGTGTATTTTTTAACAAGGCTGCACTGCATTACTTTTTAGCACTCACAGGACCCTATATCATAATGAGTGAAGACAAAGCAAACAGCATGTGGGCCCAGAAATGTGCACACATCTGTGCTAAATGCTCTGCAGTTCAATCCACAGCTGATTAGCAACTAATCTGAGTTGGCCGAGAGTTTAGCACTTAATCACACAAAAAGCACAGAGCGCTAGATGCACGAAATTATGTGGAAAAAATAAGAATAGATGAACAACTGTAGATGTTGCTGCTCTGTGAGTTTGCAGATGCCATAGCAGTATAACACAGCCGTATCTCACAAAATCGTGCATGGAAGTGAACTTAGTAGACTTTGCTAGCTACTAAGAAACACAGAGGAAAAAAACCAGCATGATCTGGGATTTAGTCTCCTACACAATGAGCTCGAGTCCACAGCACAGAGACCAAATCACTGTTTGATTTCTATTTTACTTAGCCTAAGATTTTTTTTCAAAATGGTCACAAATCTACAGAGCAGGTTGTGCATACTAGCAGATACTTTTGCAAAAGGAATACAATGGGTTCATCTTTTGAATGAAGCAACAAAACCTTTGAGCTTCACAGTATAAACTTGGATTCTCCAGTAACTCACAATAATCAAAAGGATGATTATTTCAAGTGTTCTCTTTCCTCCAGAAGGTGGCTATGACAGCTACTCTAGTAAACTCTGCTGAAAATAATTCTCAAGTCATTCAGGAGACTGGTGCAAAATATTACAAATTTAGAACCCAGGTTTTAGACGTCTTACTGCTTCAGGGAAAGTCGATGTGAGTTTTTCATTTGTCAAAGTCAACCTCTTGATAACTCTCACATTTATAGCTAAATGATTTTTTTTTTTTTAGTAATAATGCTATTCTAAAATTTTATTTTAAATATATATTAATTTCTTACTCAATATATCTGCCCTAGTAATGCATGTGACACTGCACCAGATGATATCAGGTTCAGTTTTTCACTCCTGGATTAGCAGTAGACTTTTGGTAGTGGAGGATGATAATTTGCCTTTCAGAATTTACTACAGTTGAGAACTTTGGAAAGGAGTGGCATCTACCACGTTAAAAACGTGTTTTTAAATTCATCATCTTTAAGTCAAGTGACACGAAAAGGAAGAATCAAATGCACCACACAATGACACTTTATAGAAGAATACTTTTTAGATGAAAGCCCTGTTTAAGAGACAAGAGTGACAGTCATACTCCATTTAACTATCTGTCATTACTAAGCATGCTTATTATCTTCAATTTTCCTTTGATTATCAATGTCTAACAGAAAGAAACTTAGCCAGAAACATTTTGAAAATTCACAGAGGAAATATAAATGGTAATTTCAAAGTGGGTGGGTGGGTGGGGATAGGAAGGCTTACTGACTTTCTTACTGAAGAGACTCAGAAATGATGACAAGCTCCCTCTGAACGATTTCTCACCTCTTCCTAATGCGATTATTCCTCTTAACGTTTTCCAGTGACTTTTCCTAACAGGACAAACAGAGTTTTCTCTGTCTCCAGTTGTATTCTTGGCTTTTTCAAGGTCCTGTTGAAATAAATGAGAAGGGAAATTCAATTTTTATTTTAAATATATTTTAACAATATACTGATAACAAACATTAAAATACCTCTTTATTCAGTTGGCTCTCACTTTGTTTTTCAGAGTCAACAAGACATTGAGATGAGGACGAAAACTCTTTTCTTTCCTTGCATGGAAACACAGGGTTTTGAGTGACAAGAAAAACAATATGTTCTTTTTTCCCAGTTCTCTCTTCTTCTTCAGTTTGATTGACTATTTTCATTGAAATCTCAATGTTAAAAAAATCCAGGGCTGCTGCACCAATGATTCCTGAAGGGGAAACAAACGACAAGGTATAGCCAAGAACAAACCCTGTTCATTTTCCCTTTTAGAGGGTCCATGGTGGAATTTCACTGTTTCAGAAATCACTTTTCCAAAGGACTCTGGAAGAAGAAAGCAATGTCTGTCGTTCTTACGACCACTGCCATGATGAGAATATGCACATAGGAGGTAAGCTTTAAAGTTACTGTATCTTTTGCCTTGTCTGAGGACAAATGCTTATTTTCACTAGAAGCAGCTCAGCAGGATATCTGAAGAATGTGTTCAAGTAGTCATGGAGCAATAATATGAATTCCCACTAACCCAAAAAAGTGCAGGGAGTCTGGAGAGATTCTGCTATGCAATCTATTTCAGTCATTGCAGAATATTTTATTTTTGAAAGGAAGGAAATGTCTTTCACGCAGACGTACAATCAGTTCTCTCATTTCTCTCTAGGTATTAGGCAAAATACTGGACAATGACATCAAAAGCTCTGTTCAAAATTCCAAATAGTTCTGTGCTTTCAGTATGAAACAAGTTTTGACAAAGGGGGAAGTTTCAATAAACTTTTAAATTCAGTATCATCTGTGAAAGAAAGGAATACCATAATCTCTTACAGACCTATGGCTGTTTAACCCTTGCACAAGGACAGCTGTGGAGATTCCTTTAATACTGGTAGAAGATTGAGTTTTGAGCAGGGTTCAGTAGTAGTTGTACAGATTGCACATCCTACAGGGTGGATGAATGCCTTCAAATCAATGGTAATTTCTGTAATTTCTTCGCTGTAATTTAAGGACCATGAGTCACTGAGAACTAATAAACAGTGAGAATCAATACACACCATGAACTTTAATTTTTCTTCCAAGAAGGGAATTCTGTAGCAGGAATGGACACTTATGGCCTGGGCTGTCATGTCATAAGTTTTGGTGGAAGCTACTGGGGGCTAGGAGTGATCAGGCAGTAGGGAAATACTGAGTTCAGGCATCTGGAGACTAAACTCTAGCCACACCAATTCCATGGCCTGTCCTCATCTGAAAAAAGACTGAAATCTGAGCTAGGTGTATCTGCAAATAAATGATTACTGTGTATATATATTGCATTTTATATATATATAAACAAATATACATATATACGGGTATATATATATATATATATATATATACACACCCATACACTGAATTTTGTCTGGTTACCTGGTACAATATGGCACAGACCTCTTCTGTCTGAATAGTAGTGTAAATGCATTGACCCATCTTCATTCTTTTCTACTCTAAAAGATGGTGCATTCATTTCCTGAGGAAAAAAAACCAAACAAAAACAAAACCTCAGCATCTCTTTCTGATAAAGAATGTATGATTAAGAAACTGATGCATTCCACTTGTACAAAAGTATTCATGTCTTAATAATATGAATAAGATGAAAAACAGAAAATAAATATTCTCACCTGTGAAGGAAAAGCTGCTATGCATTAGAGCCAATGTCCTAAATAATGCCTAATGTTGAGGACTACTCAAAAAACCAAACATTTTAAAAAATTACCCTAACATGTTGGAGTACTCTGTTTCAGAACATAGGAGAACACGTTGTAGTGTGTTTTTTCATTATTCATTCACATTGATGGGATGCTGTTCCCTGTGCTATGAACTCTGGTAGAGTCCACCCATTCCTGCTCAGCAATTACTACTTGGACTTGCCTGGTAAGAAAGGGACAGGTAGCTGTGCAATGCATCCAGGTTCTCTATGAACTCATAGAGATTTCCACCCAGTGTCCTCAGCATGTGGTCATAGCCTGAGCGCTTACAGAATTCAAAGAAATACTTCCCAAACTCTCTCAGAACCAAGTCAGCAGGAACACCTGGCAAAATAAAGACACCTAGTAAGAAAGGCTTGGAAAATGCTGTCAGGTGGACTAAGAGCGAAGGCAGAATGTTTGCAACATAGGGAGGGCATTCCAAAGGGCGCAGGAGGCTAAACCTGGGCTGCAGTGTCAGGCCTGACCCAGGACAGTCTGTTTTTGCAGCGTGGTGACACATACCTAGTACTTTGCAGGCTTTGTCGACAAGCTGCATTGTGATCTCATCTTTGTAAACCTCAAAAGTCAAGAAAGAATCCTGGACTCCAGCCTGCAGTCTACAACAGAGAAGACAATATTCCTGTCTGAGCCGTGCTGTAAATACAACATGCTTGGGTGATCTAACTGGCATTTGTTAAGCACTGTTTACTGTGAACACTCCTTAATCTCCTTCAAGCGTTATATTGAAACACACTGCTTCCCATAATGATGTAGGATTAAAATTAAGTTGCTTTAAATTAATTAAATTGCTCTAACATGGCTGAATGGTGGTGTGCACCCCTCAATTCCTGCTATTTTACATTATGGTGTAGGATTCAGGCATCATAGTGCGGGGTACTAAAGCAAGCAGAGTCTTAGTTTGTCTTCTGTTCAGTATGGCCACAATATCAAGCTCTAGGGGCTCCACAAAGTGGCTGGTTGTTGTTTTGGGTTTTTTTTATATTGGTTTCAAAGATTAATATGTGTATGTATCTAAGTATCATTTATGTATCTTTATATCTTGGAAAATACCATCTAGTTCATAAAATAAGGACACAACAAGAGATGGCCAGGTTGGATGGGCTTTGAGAAACCTGGTCTAGTGGATGCTTCCCTGTCCATGGCAGGGGGATTGGAAAAACATGATCCGTGATTCTGTGATTTCGCTGTGTTTCTGAAAGTACTGGAATTAAACTAGCTTTATATCAAGGATGACATCTTTTAAGGGTAATTACTTCTCAATATTGTCACAGTGAGCCAGCGAGTCTATTGCACAATTGTCTATAAGACTAAATGTCATCTTTAATTATCTGATATGACAAATTAATTGGGACAAATTAGTATCAGAGTATGAAGTGTACAAGGCAAGAAACTCTTGCTTTTGTCCTGCTAGTTACTTCTAATAATTACTTGAGATATACATCAGCTGCCATTTACCAATGAGAAATTATAATCCCCTGGTGCTGAATTCCTGAGCATTTTCTTTCAGTGAACTACAATTATTGGGAACACATTACCTTAATTTTTCCCATGTTTCTTCACCATACTTTTCAACCACCAAAGACTTCAGGCATGTGTTTATAAATCCATACTGTAAACACAAACACATGAAACGGAAAATACATACTGATTTTTCAAATGCTTCCCCAACGTGCCACCCATTCCAGATTCCACCGCTAATTTTATATTGCAAAAGATAAAGTGATGATGTTTGACAGCCATTATATCTTTCAGTAAACAGCACAGCCTTTTACCTCAGCATTTCACAAGCATTCATCAAAACGGAGCCAACAGTCCCTCCTGTTTTGCGGAGAAGGATGCGGGGGGCTCCCGCAGGTCAGTGATGGGCTGTGCCGTGGATGCAGCCCGGGTGGGGCGGGGGGAGCACAGCAGCCACGCACCCGCGGGCGAGCTGGCTGTGCCGTGGCTGCTGCTCTGCGTTAGCAGCGACAGACCCCGCGCTGGAGATGGCGGGGAAATGCTGAAATATCGCCGGGTAGCCCTGTCAGCGCAGCGCCAGCCCAAGCGTGATGCGCTCCGAATCCCCCAAAGTCCGCGGGTCAGCAGCACCCTGCCCGCGGCAGCGATGGACAGAGGCTGTCCGTCTGGCTGTCTGTCCGCGGCAGGAGCGGCCTGCCTGCCTGCCTGTCTGTCTGTCTGTCTGTCCCCGGCAGGCGCTGTCTGTCCGCCCCGGCTCGCCCCCCGGCCCCGCTCACCATCCTTTCTCCGCCGCGGCTCCTCCGCCGCCGCTCCCTCCTCGCCGCCGCTGCCGGCCCGGGGGGGTGGCCGGGCCAGGCGCGGCCCCGCCGCGCTCGCCGGGGCGGTGACACCCGGTTGGTGCCGTGCCGGGGGTCAGGCTGTTTTCGCGCAGAAAACGCGCGGTTCCCGCAGCCGCCGGTGCGTCAGGAATTCCGAGCGCTGCCGGCAAGCACCCCCGGTGCCGTGGCATTGCCGGCACGGCGGCGGGTCACGGCTGTTCCCCCATCCCGGTTCCCGCTGCTGGAGGATGCAGCGCGCCCTGCCAGGATGTGGTGCGAGTCAGACCCGGCTGGATCACCTGGTCCCAGCCTCCTGAGACCCCCCCTGGGGCAAGGAGCTGGGAGAGTGATGGGAACAGAGGAGGTTTCTTAGGACTGCTCTAGCAGAGCAGGAGCAGCCATGGGGGAGGCAGTAGGCACCGTTGCCCAAGGACAGGAGGTTTGTAGGAAGAAGCAGCATCTTCCATTCAACTGAGCCTTGCGTTGCTACTGTAGGCCTGACAAGGAGCAGGAGGTGAAGCTCCCTGCGTGTGACTACCATCATCCAGGCTGTGACTGCAGCTGCCCAGCCTGTCCAAGAGGAAAGGACAGCAGCAGGGATGTTAACAGGAACACAGTGATTGGTGTTAGGTGCAGTGAATTCATGGGGTTTAGTGCTTGGTAGAGTTACCTCATGTCCTGGGTTTATTTTTGGAAGAATTATTTGTAGGTCACTTTTGAGAGTGGGTCCTGAGAAGGCAGAGTGAAGAACTGTTTGGGGGAAAACCCTCTCCCCTTGATAAAGATGAGCTTCTGTCCTCTGTCAGCCAGACTGGCACAGGCAGCCCTGTGGGTGGTGGAAGCCCAGTGTCACTCACCTCGTCTGCTGTTTGGTGCAGGGGCTGTGGGACGCTACAGGGGACTGTGTACTGAGCCAGGGAGGGCTCTGTGCCCGTCTGGCAGGGAGGGTTTATCTCTAGGTGTGGTGATTCCTGTGACCTCACTGATAATAAACCAGGTCTCTTCTCAAAAGCTGTCTCTTTAGCCAAAGCCTGCTTGCAGCCAGGCCCAGAGGAAGAGAACTAACAAAAGTCTGTGTCCTGCTGCATTCCCACAGCTGTGTGTAGAGGACTAGTTTAGCACAGAAACATACACACAAATCCCTCTCTATTTCCTGGACAATATCAAATATTTATTTAAACATACACCTGTTGGAGCGAGCACTGGCCAGCACAACAGATGACCTGTCTCCTGGTTTTCTATCCCTACAGGGGTTCTAAGGAGCACCCACACCTGCCGCAGAGCAAGAGGTGGTCCCAGACCCGCAGCCCTGTCCCCATCGCTCACTCAGCTGGCAGTACCTAAGGGGAATAAACACCACATCATCTAAGAACCCTGTGGGTATGCTTATTGCCTTCAATCTACAAATTAATTTCTACTATACATAAATAAAAGTAATTTTCAAGTTTATAAAATCTGAGTCACTGGAGGGATTTGCAATTACAGTAAGAAAGTTACTATCTTCTGGTACTTTAGCATTTTTCTTGTACTTTTCTTTTTCTTATTGTATGCATGACACCTAAATAAGGAATCCAGTGATTTTAATAACAAAGATTAGCAGCTATCAAAAAGGTTTGGAGGTGCAATTCAGACAAGCTAACCAAAATTTACATTAGTACATGTAAGCTGTATCTATATTGCACAAGGTAATTCATACTGGAATTGAATTTATTATTGGTTTTGCCCTTCTTTGGTTAGTGAATTGATCCTATTGTCTTTTCTGGTCTGTCATTATGAGAGAAATTTGGATAAAGAATCTTTGAGCAAGGATTGTTTGTGTGCATCATTAGGCTGCTCACTCTTCATAGTCCGTGGTCCTTCACGTGCCCTTGGCTACCTCTGTCATCTCTAGGTGGATAACAGAAGTCTTCCTAGTAGAAGAACAGAAAGAAAGAGAGAAAAAAAATCGTAATACACTTCTGGTGTGGCTCTTTAAAAAACTCTTTATTCTTTGGCATAATGGAATACTTCCTAGAATTTTGAGATCAGCAGCTATCTCTGTGTATAATTACCAGTCTTTAACCAGAGATAGAAAACCCAACATGTTTCTGTATCTCAGCCCACTCTGTGTAAAAGGAAGACAACAATACTCCCCTTTCCAGTCTGTTGCTGTGCTCTGGTGATGGTGTTCGTGCTCTCCCTTGGTGCAGTGCATTCAGATCTCCCAGACTATACTGGACCTTGTTGGAGTCATCTGGCATTGACACAAAGTGACACCTGCTGCAGCAGAGCAGGTACATTTGGGTATGGAAAGGAGAGGCTGGAGCAGATGGCTTTAGTTTCAGAGGGTTTCTTGCTTTCCAAGACATACAGGGTGGATGGGGATAGCTTCAGAGAGAACCGCATGCTGGAATTACCCTGGTCCCTCTCCTCCTGTGAGAGATTCATGATACTTTCAGATGTAGCATGGCTGAAGAGTCCTCCATGGGCTTCACCTGCACATGGCCTATCCTTCCTCCCATAACCCACTCAGCATCCAGTGCTGAAGATGGAAATCCAAACAGCAGGCCAAGGACTGTGCTGCTGTAAAATTCTGCAAACTTCCTGGCAGTTTGGGAGCAAGTGTGCCTTACATTTTTTCTGCATTTGTGGCAAAAGATTCATTAATTCGAAAAGGTAGTGCTGTGGCCTTGCAAAAAAGATACTCAGCCATACCTGACAATTAATTATATCAAGATCCCATTTCCCCTGGCCTTTTGTTGTGCTTGTATCCAGTTAGTTCTAAACAGCATCCTTGAGCTCTGGGTAGTTCAGCAAAATAAATGGGCCATCTGCAAAACTGTATACACTGCTTTTTCAGTTAGATGAGAAGTGAAAATATGCAATACAGCAATTTATAGCTTCTGGTTACAGCCTTGGAGAATGCAGTCACAGACCGTCATGGTCTGTGTATGCAAGGCCATCCTCCCTCCTCTTCTGTTTCTCCCTGTCGTGTGATCATCACCAGCAGCACAAAGCCATGTGTTAGCTGCCGTGGTGGAGGGGCTGCTCCCACAACCGTCTGAGCAGAGCACATTCTAAACATTGCAGTCTGGAGCCCAAAATACCACAGCAGTAACAGAATCCTTTCTCCAAGTGGTTGCCAGCGCTCTCTCCTGCAGAAGACCCCTGAGGACGCAGGCCTTTTCAGCATACTGCCTTCAAACAGAGCCTTACATCCGTTGTTCAGATATCATGTGTTCACATTTGTCTTGAATTAGCCTGCACAGCGACTTTCTTTAGAGACTCAAAGGGAAAAAGAATCTGTCCTTCTACCGATGGGAACCAAAAATGAAGTTTATATATATATATATATGTATATATATTTATTGGTAGGCTTCCAGTACTTCACACTACCAAGCCACGAAGACAGCTGATGCAGAGTCTAGATTAGGAATAAAAATAAACACAGGAGATGTTCTGCCCTGCATAGTTTGGATGGCTCCAATTTTCAAAATACACATTTAAAACCCCCAAGAGTTATATTTGAATTCTTACTATAAGACCCTGGGCAAAATTTAAATAACATTAATGTAGACTAACTCAACAACAGTGAAACTGTACTAGTACAGGCTTTACCCTCAAGAAAGCTTTCAAAACCCCAACTCCTCTGTTTATCTGTTAAGCTGAGCTGGAGATGGGAGGTCAGGCCAATAATATTTAAATTGGTTTTGCCAAACTGACAGGAAAAGTTGCCAGCTCAGACCCAAAACCTATTCACAGCACACTGCTGGGGATGGAACTGAAGAAAATGAAGGATTTGCTCTGAGAGCTGGATAATCTTTGGCATCGTTCCCTCTCCCCTGGCTTTCCACGTGTGCTGCCATGGAGCTCTGCTCTCCCTGTGTGTGATCCACCCTGACGCTTCCCTTGCCCGAGCTGGGGGAGTCAGGGCTGTAGCCATGAAAATATGTCTCATGCAAAGGAGAAACTGGCCCTGGGGTACATTTGCCTGTAACTTTCTGGTTCAAGTCTTGGTGCATGTTCCTCTGGGTATTTTCTTCAGCTTGCCTCTTGTATTGCTACTTATTTTCAAGAGCTAAAATCCAATATCTTTGCTTTCTACACAGAAAATTGCTCATTACTTGTATTTTCCCCCTCTGATTGCTACTTAATGAAATTTGTTCCAGCTTTAACATCATTGGAATGAGCTACAAAGAATCATTTGTCTCAACTGCCTGGGCCAGGCTCTTTTCTGTTGCAGCTCACAGACAGCACAGTTATCCAGGAGACTGCAAGCATGCAGTCAAGAATAATGCAAAAATGGGTAAAAGCCAAGGCTCATCAATCTTTGGTGCTGTGCTATGGCATCTCTATTGTATTCTGAGCCATGTAGCTCAAACACATTAGCATATGGAGCTGTTTGGTCACTTTCTGGCACCTTGTTCCTTTGGAAAAGTAACTGCAAATGTTAAAGTGTTGTTTGTGTCAAATGAAGAAATAGCATAGGCCGTGCTGTTAAACGAGGTTGTAGCTGAGGGTCTGTGGTGTACTTCCATCCCATCCCAGTAGTGTCCCTCCCCCGTGCTTTAAAGAGGGCCTTTCCCATAATATTCATGCCACCTACCATCTGCTGTGTAACTCAAAATTAACTCCAAGGGCCCAGTTCAAGAACCCAAAGCAATTTAGCAGCACATCCCTGATAATGTCGACGTAAACGGTAAATGCTGGCTCTAGCTTTATTTGGCTTTTATATTGCGAGATGTTGCTCCTTTAGTTTTGGAAATGATAATCCAGCTATTCTCCATCACTTCATATTAAGTATCTGGGGGTTTGTGCTTGAGAGGTGGACCCAGGTTTCCTGTGGCTGCAGGTGTTAAGATCTGTAACTGTTAAATTGCAAATCTTATTTAATATGTTGTTGGGTTTACTTTACTTTATGTCCCATCCTGCATCACATCCAGCCTCGTTCCAGTCAAACAGCTCTGTCTTCCAATGAGCTTTCTTCTTGGCTACCCTTTCCCACCAAACCACCCACCCCTGATGCTCTCTCGGTGCTTCAGATGTAACATTCAACTTCCTTGTTGCTTTTGTTCCTCCCAGTAAATGTTTTGGAGTAGTACTAATTATACAGCATGCTTAGATTTCACACACCATTATTAGCAAATACCTGTTTACTCTGGCTTTCCTCGTTTCAGCTGAATCTGTGAGCTACATCCCGTGTAATAACTTTGACTGAAAAATACGAGGATCCATTCTGTGCAAAGGTGAAGTCTAATATCCTTTTTTGTCATTAGGGACTAACCGTTCTACAGCTCTAGGTCTGAGTTTTCGGAGGGCTACAGCTCCCATGATCCCCAAGAAGAACTGGACCAGAGCTTTGACTGTGATGCACTTTGGGAAGAGGAGGAAGTATACAAAAAAAAAAAATCCCCTTGCTTAAGCAAGAGAAGTAACATTTGAAAGTAAGTAGCGAATCCTAAATATGGAGTAGTAAACTCAGCTGGAAAATTTAGGTGGAAATCTGTGATGGTAATGCAAGAGAGGTCCAAACAGCTGAGAGAGGCAGCTAAGGAACTCCAGGGAAACTCTTATCTGTCAAATAGAAGAGCTATTAACCAGGAGTTTATAAATGTTTAAGGCAGGATGGCTGATGAGTTAGAAGAATGAGAGTTCTAAGGAAGAAATTTCGATTCTAGTGAAGGCCCGATACTGTGCTTGCTTCTGTGCACAGTGTGTGCCTGTTGATCTTTAGAGGCACAGTGGGATGAAGGTTTCTATTCCTCCTGCACAGGGAGAAGTGCTGTGATCAGGAGTGAGGAACGTGATAGGTGCTTTTTGACACAGCAGCTTTATTTTTTGTAATGGATTGTACAAGGGGTAAGGGTTTAACTGGCAATTTCAAGTGACCCTCCTGCCTGTGGTGTAGAGTGAGCTGCTGGAATAAGAAACTCAGATACAGATCAGCTGATAGCAAGTAGGAAGAGGTAGTTGGAGGTAGCCCTGTATTTCCTGTGTCTCTGCCTACAACTGCAATCTCCCTTTTGATCTCTCCTTTCGAAACTGGAGGTGTTGCTGATGATCTAACCAGCACCTGACTAGCCAGACACTTGCACTTGGAGGGCAGCTGCACTGTGTGTTGGGGGAGTGGCTGTCACCTGGCGAATCCCCAAAATCTCCATAATTTTCCTTTCAGCCTTAAACCACCCCCTTTCATCCAGTCAACGACGAACAAACGTGAAAGGCCCAGTGTGTTGAGATGACGTGCAGAGAGAAGAGCCAAGCTCTACACTACCAAGTAAACCTGAGGATGCACTTTCTGATATTTATTGTGTATTCTGATTTCACTGTGTATTTCTATAGAGTGAAATTATGTTGTAATTCAGGAAGGTCCTTCCCATCCCCTCCTCCTCCTCCCAGCTCAAAACAATATAGCCAAAACAGCCAGCATTAGATGTTTAAAAAGATTCACCACACAGTTTAAATTGTTGGTCTGACTTCTTTGTGGCTGATTATACTAATCCTCAGGAAGAAAAAATACCTTTCTGTAAATCAGGCTAGCTACTGAAAATGCTCTGCACCTTTCTGACCTCAGCTGTGGCTATCTACCTATCTATTAGCTCTTATGGATTAATTCAGGGACAGTAGCAGTCTTTATTCTGGTTTTCGATTTGTGCTTGGCTTTGCACTGATATAAATACTAGATGTACTGAAATTGAGATTTTGAGGTTTTTAATGTTAGTTGTGGAGCTACATCTATTTGATATTGGTTTCCCTTGAGATTGATTTTTTCCTCTGATAATTTCTTTTGCCAAAACCACTGTTTTCCCTTTTTGACTTGAACCTCTTGGTTTCATTAAAACTGGTTTTATATAGAGTCTTTGAGTAAGGCTAGAGAATAAATCTCTCTTATTTTAAGATGAATTATTTGCTGAAAGGTTATTTTGTTTAGAATAGGAATGTGTATCTGCACCCCTGTCTAGTCTGCTTGAGCTAGTTCTGCCCCAGATGGATGAAGCAGTTTAGTTGTAGCTACAACAAACTTGACAAAGAGTGGAAAAGCTGTCCAAGAAGTAGGATAAATTGCTTGAGTTCATCTCTAGGCCACCAGTAGGATCAGAACCAGTTAATCAGTGTGTGTCCCATGCTCCAGTGTAGGTTTGTCACACACTGAGAAAGTGGCATTGTCCTCGTGATGGACGTAGCAGAAAGCTTCCCAAATCTGGATGTCATTGGCTTTTTAAAAAATGGTTTGCAAGTACAGCTAACACCTTAGTGCTGTGTGAATGCCAGCTTTGCTCCTCTTTTTTCCTGGTCAAGATGATCAGGATGATCAGTGATGCATTCACTGCTGAAAGCAGGGAAATCCCAATCCTGGTCTTTCATGGAGCAGGGCAAGGGAAATAAGACTTAGGGTAGGACCTGGCTGTGGAATTAGTGAAGTGGGATGATGTGTACATGACCATGTAAAACGGGAGCTGCACTGAAATAGGAGCTACAGCTCGGAAATGCAATGCTACCTCTGGCTGCATGGAATAACAGGGATTCAGCAGCACCCTGCATTTTATCTGTGTGGCCAGCAAGCACCCTGCAATTTGTTTGTGTGGGTGGAACCATTCCAAAGCATGCAGGATCCCACTGCTGCTGGAGCACTTTGTCCTCCCTGCAGATGCACAGCAGTGCCTGCAGCCTCTCCAGGAGTGTGCTGGGGCTTTGCTCACCTCCTTTGTTACTGCTTGGCCAGTTTTTCCTTTTCTTTCCTCCCTTCTTTTCCCTACTCTAACAGAGTGGGAAAAGTAAATCTGGGTGTTTCTGAAGCACTGCAATGCACACAAACCAGCTCTATGTGAGACTTGACTGCAAAATCTGTGCTGCACAACATGCAGTGTGTGTGAGCTGCTAGGAAAGACTCCCAGACTGGTGAGGAGCCCAAAAGACCAGGCATCCTAGTGGTACTTTGCCAGTGGCAGTGTTTGTGAGAAATAGATTAAAACTAATTTGTGAATTAGTTTTAAAATGTTAATTTATTTTGCTTGATGGGCCCAGACACTCAATAAAATCAACATCAGTTACCAGAGTATGCTGTAAGCCCTCTCCAAAGCCCTGCACAAGTGGTACTTGTAATGCAGGTGAACGGTGGTGTCCACATTTTCCCAAGGGAAAACAGAGGAGCAGTGCAATAGGGAATAGAGGAGATGATCCAGCATGTAACTCCAGAGCTGCTGACCATCAGATCTGTGCTCTGGACCCTCTTTTGCTAGCTGAAATAAGCAAGTACAAATGCAAAGCTGGAGAGATGTGAGTTTCTAACCGAGAAGCAGAACGACCAAGCAGCTAATTGGGAGGAGGCTAGCTCCAACTTGCACAGCTGCTCTGTCCCAACAGCTTGCCTGATGGTGTAATACATCAAAAACAACAATAATCCTGCTGTCCAGTAACATGTATGGGCTAGTTACTATAATCTGAACCACAGATGAAAGCAGAGATGCAGGAAGGAACATCACAGGTAAAGCCAAGCCAAGTCTATAACGACAGGTCTTTCAGAGGATTGGTCATTGAGACGACAGACTCTGAGTTACATGGGCTTCCACTGCTTACCAGACTTCCATTTGAAGCCAACAGCTTCATTCCTTGTTTTGCCCTTTGGCAACATCCAGCTACCAAAATTTCTAGTGCAGTTTTATGTGTGGGGCTTGCTGGGGTTCTCAGGCAACACCTCTTTTCTCACACGAAAGAGCGATCTCTTCAGTGGGATTAAAGAGAAGATATCATTGCCTGCTTCCATGCCTGAAGTGAGAGAATTTTTAATTGAATAAGAAATATTAGACTACCTTCTGAGGCTGTTTTTCTAATGTAGGATAACATCCTCAGCTATATGCCTTGGCTCCCATGCTTCAGGGAAAAGAGATAGGAATAGCAATGGGATATTCTGATGCCAACACAGTGACTGGCCACGAGCAGCAAGGTCACTGCTGTCATGCAAGCTCCCTGATCTCTGGGCTCCTCTGACAAGTTCTGCTTATGGAATGACTGTCTGAAAATCTATCCAATGTTAAGGGTTGTTCCTGTAATTCCTTTGTCTTCTTGTACATTGCAAATATTTCCTTGCACAATCTTTTAAAAGGGGAAAATGATGCAGAGCTCTTGAATAGCTATCCACTACCACTTTGTACTCAGATTAATCCTGAAGAATCTTTTGAATCCAGGCATGTCACCAAAATATAATTAAGATTACCCAACAGAGCTCTTGATTCACAGGACTAGGACTAATGAGCACCAGTAAAGTACAAATTGTATTGGGTAATCTCTGTGTTTGGACACACAATCCTTCAAGCCAAGTCATTCTTGTAGGCCTGGGAAATCCTTGAATGAAAATTCCTGCCATTGCCACAGGTCTTCATTAAAATGCCTGAGCAAAATCCTCTGTATTCCACACACTGTGTAATACTGAGAAAAAAATACTGTGAGTAAAGATCCTACTCTAATGGTTAAGCTCCTGCCAACTTAAAGTAGAAATCTTTTTTCCTTATGGCTGCAGATGCAAGGCCTTGGATGAAGCTCCTGTCAGCAGTTGAGTCTGATCAAGCACTGTGTGCATCTGACAGCCAGCTTGGCACCGCCCCACACGTGCAGCAACTGGGCTCCAATGGATTTCATGTGCAAGTAGCCCTGAAAGGCATATTAATTTTTAATTAAATGTTGAACTTTCAAGTTTAGAAGGCCTCCTCAAGATATTTGTCAGTACTATGTATGAATGAGGAGGTAGTTCTTAAGCTGTGTATTGTTGGTAAGCAAACTAAAACTCCCTGCTGAGAATAAATATATACATACATGTGTATGTAGGGGGTGTGTGTATATACACATATATATGTATATTTGAAGTGAGACATATGATACAATAACACCTTTGCAGCAAGGAGAGCCTCCTGCCCTGCTCTTCTTTGCATGCAGTGCTGCAGAAGTTTCACAGACCTTGATGGCTGGGGCAGCTTGCCCAAGAGCAGGGAGTCCCATATGCTGGTGCAAAGAGCTTAAATCACAAGGAAAATCCTAAAAATAATGTCACAATCTAATGCTGACATGCATGGAAAGAGCCTGGTAGAGTGATGTACAGCACCGATTGGTGTGGTGTAGCTTTCTATGCAGGGAAGGCTGGTTTGCTTGGGGCTTTTTCTGATGATGAATATCTAGAAAAAAGAGAAGTGGAAGAGGACACAATGAGAGAGATAGAAAGTGTTAACAGTTTGGGCTCTGGAAACATGTGACTAGAAAATTAACGTTGTTCCCTATGGAAAGAATTGCACCTGTTTCATCACATGGTTTTTTCAGCTATTTAGCCCTCTTCAGATTATACAAGTTTTTTAGGAGTTTGGCAGAAGGTATGCTGAGCCAGACTTTGTTGTACCTCTCTTCTTTCTGGATGCTTTCTTACAACTGGAAAGCTGTAGGAAAAAAAACCCAACTCTGGAATACTGCAGCATTTCTTCTCACAGGCAACTATACATGTTTCCTTGTTAGTAAGCACTGCATGTCACTCTTTCAACAGCTCAGCACTGTATTTACTGGGACCCCAGTGTGTGTGGTAAGTAATACCACAGCTCCTGAATATGACCTATCATTACACAGAACTCCAGTAAACAAGTCACTTTTAATCATTTCTCTCCCTTTCAGAAGTGCATTTGTATATGTGTTCTCTTCCCATGGTGAAAAAGTGTTTGTAATGTGTTATTAAGAGTAACAGATGTATTTGAATAAGGGATGTCTGTTAATTGGGATAAATCCTAGAAGTCAGAGTAGTTCTGAAATGTGAAAGAAGCATTAGATAAAAACTAAATTTAAAAAAAAACAAACAAACAAAGAACCAAAGAAACCAAACCAAAACAAAGAAAACCCCGAACACATACCACTCTCCCTGAGTGAAAAAACTACAATTAAATGAATCCCCGTTTTAACTAATCAAAAAATTCTTTAGACATGTTTCTGCTATGGCCACTGGCCCATCATTGGGCTGTTTGACGGGGCTTATGAAATGATTTCTACGGCTTTCCACCCTGGTCAAAAATCTTCCCAACCTCTAATAGTCCAGCTGGCCTGGAGGTGGAGTGGGGATGTCTTCATAAATCCTGGGGTTCATAAAAAATGCAGGTTTTTTTTTTGCCAATGTAAGTATGTAATAAGTTTTTGGTACTTTTCCAGCTACTCACTTAAATAAGATCATGTATTGAGCCCTAGGTGTGGAAGAAATATACATGTCTTTAAAGGCTAACAAGAAAAGGATTTTTGTTTGTTTAATTTAGAAGCTGGCATTGTGCCTCCTGCTCTTTACAGCTGCTAATAGCAGGCAACTTCCATCTCTGCCAGGCCCTGAGAACGGCAAGAGACGCTGGGAACACAAGAGGACAGGATTTACACCTTTCCATTTGGCTAACTTTGCCTAGTTTGGCAGAAGAAAACTCTTTGGCGGTCCTGGTTTTAAGAAATCTGCAAACTAAGAGAGGTTTGCTGAACTGTTGCCTGATGTCTAGGAGTTGCTAAACTGTGATAGCATTTTGACAACAAAATGGCTAAAATAGCACAAGTGTTGCTCCTGTTATCTCTAAAACAACTCAGGACAACCCTAGAATTTACTTACTTCTATTTTCCTGAACAGTCTGGTACTGGAGACAAGGTTTGCAGTTCACATTCATCCCACGTGCACTTCAGTAATGCACGCATTTGGTAAATTCCTGTTCTGCTAAGATGCCTGCTCGATTTAAAAAATAAAGCTGGAAGTCTTTGAGGAGGAGAATTCTTGAAGGTCTTTAGCTAAGGTGAACCCAAACCCTTGCAAGTTAATTAAAAGCCTTCTTTAAGGCAGGTGGATTGATGGCAAGGTCACAAAAGAACACCAGCCTTTTTGGGGGGAACTCTGGGTGTATAGATCAACAGATTATGTTCAAGAAAATGAAATGAAAAAAAAAATCTTCTCATTACCTTTCTGTACCTTTGCACAGGGCCAAGGGAAGGTGAAGGTGCTGTTGTATCCCACCAGGAGGATTCAAGGCTCCAGGGTGAGGGGTGTGAGGAGAGGAAGCCCCTGCTGCCTCCCAGTGAGTCAATGCCCATGGATGCTGCTGTCCTGGTGCTCCTCCAACAGCTCTTCCAGCAGGGGACTGGCCCTGCTGCTGCCCCTCTTCAACTTGGAGGAAATGTTTGCCAGTGACTCAGGGAACAGGGGCTGGAGCTTTAGAGATAAACTCTTTTTTTCACAGGCAGATGAGTGGGAAGTGTTTCCAGTAAATGTGCGTGCGTGCAGTTGTCCTGCTACTGGAGAGGTCAGAAATATTCCTTATAATGGCCTTTAAAGTAAAATGGAAGGAAATTTGAAGCAGTATTGACCAAAAACTAAAATTGCATAATTTGAAAAATGCCAGGATATTTTATTTGTTTGGCATTTTCACCTCTCTTTTGTGTTGGGTTTTTTTATACTACACTCATGAAACCAATAGAAAATAATGAAGCATATAACTGAATCCATATTACAGAATGCAGAAGGTTTCTGATAACACATACCTATGCCTGGTTGTTATAATTTCTCAATTAGAAGAACCAAAAAAGTTGGCAAGGTAGATTATAGTTGAGCAATTTGTAGGATTTTTTTTTTCTTTAATTCCTCCACTCACAGATAGACATTGGTAGGATCCCAATGAACTGAGATAAACATAATTATATTCCAGAAATAATTCTTATTGCCTGTCTTAAAATTACTACTAGTGTTTTCTCTCTATAATGAAATAGAGGTGTTGTACAGACTCAGTTTTGTTTTTTTTTTTCACGGTGGTATTGAACTTGCTGTTTGCTCAGATTAAAACATATCAATGGTATGTGCAATAAAAATTGATTTTCGAGACTGCCATGTGCAATGCAGCTCATTTGAAGAATATTGCTTGGCTTGTGCTATATGGGCAGAATCTGCAGGCTGTCTGACAGCATTTTAAATGGAAGTAGTGATTTTAGTAATGACATGAATAAAACATCCCCTAGCCATGTAGCTGGAGCCAAATAAACCTTAAGATCTGGCCACAGCTGATTTCAATCCCTAGAAAGAATTTGGGTCAGAGAGAGACGCTAAGGAATGTGATTGCCAACATGAGTATCACCTGGAAAAGGTGTCACTGTTTTCTCAGTTGTTTTTTGGTTTTGTTTTTATCAGCACAGCAGGCTTGTGTAAAGTACATCTGTAATAATGAACTTTTCTTAGGAAGATTTTGCCATACATCTAATGCATCTATCCTGGGAAAATGGTCTTGCATAAAGATTTTTATTCCAGTGTATGTAGCTCTTCATCCATGTTTTTTTCCTGCATTTTGTCTTTTAATGTCTTGAGAAACTGTAGCCATTTCATGGGAGTAGGTCTATGCTACCAATTATTATCCTCTCACCGAGGACATTATTTATTTAGGTATTTCCTGAAGGTCAGACAAATAATTCATTGGCATCAAAAGTTTGTTTTTACTTTGTATCTGTGTCATGACTGTTCAAAAAGCCCACTGAACTCCCAGAGAAACGTGCATACATAGGGGTTCTCATGAATGTTCACACCACGTTCAAGATATCTGGCATGTGATCTTTTTGGGGGTTTTCCCTCATTTGCTTTAGGTCTCCTTTCAGACTGAAAGTCCAAGAACCATAATCCCATTCCTGAAAACATGCTTTCCTTCCCACCACAACTTCCCCATAACCTGCCTTACCTGCACCATTTGCAAGCCTTTTATTTATTTTTTTGTGCTTGTCTAGTGCTAGATATAAGTACTGTTTGTTGGCTCTTAGATAAGAGTGTAGTGAAGATAGTAGCAATAATCTCGTGGTTTAAAGAGGCATCTTGCCTGAATTTATTGTCATGGTAAAATGTCTCAGGCAGATTAGGAAAACAGCAGAACAATTCCAATTTAGTGAGCTACAGGGAGCGCCTTGGTTTCTGGGAATGTCCATTCCAGATGCCTGGCATCTTTAGCCTGCAGAACCAGGTCTGGAAGAGGATGTTTACCAGCTGTCTGTAAAATAATGACTCTTTTCTGAGGCTGCAGTCACATGTTCATTGTAGAAATGGCTTTGTGGCACTTGAAGATGTCCATTCCCAGCCATAAACTGGAAATTAGCCTTTTCCTGGTACAGCTTAGATGTCAGAATAAATCATCTGGGCACTCATCACGTGTTTCAGTGCAGAGGCAGCAGGTTAGTAAGTGCTGTTAGGAGTGATGTGAGTTTACCCACCTGACATTCCACTGGAATTTAAGCACCCATTTTTTTATACAGCCCTTTATCCTCTGCCACAGGGCTGACTGACTGTACAGCTGCTGTGGAGCAATGACAAATGCCTGGATGTTGGTCACATCTATAACTGGCACAGCTGCTTCTCCACTAAATACCTGACCTGAGACTGAAGATTAGTCACTTTGCTGAGCAAGGCTTTCTGTGGCAGTGGGAAGGACCTGGAAAGGATGTAAACTACATCTGGCTAGAGACTTATCCTGTGCAGAAGTAATGTTTGAAATGATGCATATATTCTAGAAGAAAAAAACTAGAGTTTTTACTTTAATGTGAAAAGGCCAAAACATACATGTATTTTAAGTATTCAAGGCAAGCAATTCTCTGTCACTTAGCAAACAGGAAACGTCAAAGTAGCTGAGGCGTGAAAGTCACTAACAGCCACAAATAATCTCTGTGAGTGTAACCGTGAAAAATGTGAAATGTGTTTCTCCCTCAATCGTCAAAGCAACTTCCTCCAGTCCCACAGCAACCGAATCGGTAGTAAGACACCAGATCTCATAAGAATAAAAATTTTGTCAGCTGTCTCAGGCATTTCTCCACCAGCACTGCGTGTGCCACAGCAGCAGGTGAATGCTCCAAAAGGCTACATTACCCACCCACATCTGCAGATGGTGCCAAGAGCTGCTGATGGTACTGCTGTGGAAGTGAGTGCCTCAGTAAATCCAGAGCTTCTGGAAGAACGTGGCATTACTGGCTAGTCCTGAATAAACTCACCCCATTTGGACTCTGACTTGGTATTTTGCAAGTCACTAAGCTTCATTTGACAGGTTGAATAATGAAGGATCTGTCACATATGCAGATAAATAGTTGTAAGGAATAATTATCTTTGGTGTTGCATTGTTTTTGATCTTGCTTCAGTTTCCAACCAATTTGTTGGGCTGTCTTTTCCTACTTGATTTAAATGGCAGTACTCTTAGAAACCACTTTCCCATGTGGGTGCTTTATACACCACGACCAGGTCAGCCCTAACCTTTTGGGTTACCAAACAGCACTAACCTCTTGGTAGGTGTTGGTGTAACATGATGGTACTGGTGCAGCATTTTACCTTTCACTTGGGTCAGTGGACAATATTTTCTTCCATCATTTGTGACAGAAACTATTTTGGGGGGTTTTTTCCTGAAAATTTGCCTTGAGTGTTTTGAAGCATCTGGCTCTTTGAGGCTGTCTTCTGACACAGTATGTACCCACGTGTTCACCTCTAAGAGCAGGAAAACTTCTGAACCTGAACCATTTGTCTAACCACACCACTGCAGCTTTCACTCTTGGTTGCAACTGCTGTAGCACGATTTTTTTTTTTTCCTAATGGGAGCCTTGAACAAAAGGTTTGTTCCAGCCAAATCTCCCGTCACATTACTGTAACGTGTTTAAACTCCACTTGACCGTGAAGCAGTGGTTCCACCGCTAGAAAATGGGGCTGTAACCCAAGAGCCTGCCTGTTCCTGATGTGAGAGCCTCCCCTGTTGTAGCAGTCACAGTGCAGTGAGGTCACAGGTATTCATGCAGCTAAGGGTACTGCTCTAGTCCCTGTTTGACAGAGACCAAGGCAGGATGTGAAAGAAGCTGATGATACAGTTCTTACAGCAGTTGCTGCCACAAGAGAAGCTCCAGTGCTGGTGAATTACAGGCCATTGCTTGTGTCTTTTGCAGTCACGTTGTGCAAGATCACTGTCAGAGACACGTTAGAGATGTGAGCTTGAACTTGAGCTGAGGCTTGACTTTGTAAAGAACTTCATCATTATTCCAACAATCTTGAAGTGGGTCAGGTACTGAAAGGGAAGCCAGTGCTGGTTGGACTGCATTAATTTTGGTTATTATGTGCATTGTCTGGTTAGACCTGTTTTCGAAATGTGCCACTACATGATGTGCTCATTACAGCAACCTCATCATCTCTCCTGCCAGTCCTCAGCACGCTGCCTGTAAACAGTCCACTCCAAGTCTGCTGGTGCTGGAGGCAGATCTTGTGCAACCGCTGGTGGTGCAGCCTGCTGTTGGGTTGGCTGGTGGGATGGAAAGCGATGCAGAGCTCAGAGGGAGAGCCTGGGTTAAGCTGTGCCCATCAGCAAGGGTTTTGTCTGTAAGTTAGGTCAGTAACAGAGATAATAGTGTTGAGATAGTACCTCAAACATCTCTCTTTCTTCCTGCTCGCAAAAATATTTGAAAGTCATTTAGTCTGGTTTAGTTTTGAAACTGTTGAGCTGTTTAGACTGTTTCATATTTTAGCATTTACTCTGTGGTGGCATTTAAATGCAGCAGAAATTAAATTTAAACACAGGCCAGCCACATGTTCCAGGCAACAACTTTCCATGAGGGAGCAAGCAAATAACTTTATGCTGCTTGTTTTCCTTCTTGTCTTGCCACTCCACTGCCTTTCACTGCACCTCCAGGCCTCTCAGCCACGCCTACTGCCTCTCACATGTCAAAAAGGACCCCAAACCAAACAAAAAATAAAACCCAACTATGCTCTTTTTAAAGCAAATAAAATGGTATGGATGTTATTTCCATAGAAGGAAGAAATGAAAAACAGACAAACAAACAAAACAAAACAACAGTTCTAAACTTACTGATCTACCTGTATTCAGGTAGTTTATTACAGTGAATTATACCTCTGCCTAATCCTCTGAAGCAGTGACAGAGGAAAATAAAAACCAGCTTTTTCTTCATCCAGGACACATAGGAAAGAAAAGAAAAAGCTTCTAAATGGATAGAAATTATGTAAATCACTATGCCTTGAAATTATTCTGTTTCTTCAAAGAGAAAATTATGGTAAAGTCCTGGTAAATCATGTTTCTGAACATTGATCCTGTTTTTACAGGACCCTATTGTCCTTTTACCTGTTGAAATCTATGAAATCTGTACACAAATCAGTCAGTTAGTTTTGATTTGCAGGGGAGGAATTAAGGCGCGAAAAGCATACATTTATGTGGTTGTCCTGAGCATTTTTTATTCTTTCAGTGATTTGGAGTAAAATTCTGCTTTTGGCAGAATCCTCAATATGATCTATTAAAAGCCACTCTGTGGTGCTGGTGTGTATCTCTGTGTTGTTTTTTTTTTTTTTAAAAAAGTGTGTATATATATATTATATATATTATATATATATTATATATATATACACATTTCTCTTCAGGTTGCAGGAATTGTGATGACAAGAATGGTTTGTTTACTGAATCTCCCAAATCAGTAACATGGGAGAGTGAGGGAACTGTCTTATACATATGGTTACTGTGTCACATATCAGTCATGCAAATCTGAAAGCAGCCATCATATGCAAAGGGATGCAAGCTTTTAAAAAAAAATAAAGGCAAAAAAACCTCTCCACCGACTTCTGGGCTTTACAGAGAGGGTTCTCACTGTTTTCCCATCGCATAGGCAAAGGTTTTTTTGCTGTGGGTTTTGTTTTGTTTTGTTTTGTTTTGTTTTGTTTTGTTTTGTTTTGTTTTGTTTAGGGGGGGCACTTACAGTGAGTTCAAGCTCTGAAATGCTTACCCTTGAGTTTGCAATCAGGCATTTAGGTGCTCTGCAGACCAGGATGTGGTCATTCTGTTTCCTGCTGTGATACAAATACCTTTTTTTTTTAAGGCT